TAGCAAACTTGGCATTAGGAGACGTGAATGGACGAAAAAGGTACATGACATGTCCAAACATGATAATTATGAGATGCGTGCTATGTAAAAGCATGACTGCGTACTACGCTTGCAGAACCCTGGCGGCCGTTTCGCTAGCTCTACAAATACCGAATTCGGTATCAGATGATGTGAATAGACGATGAAGGTAAATAACATGTTCAAACACGATAATAATGATATGCATCTCATGTAAAACATGATACATGCGACGCTCATTGCGTGCTCGCGGCCGTTTCGCCAGCTGCACTTATATCAAATTTGGTATTACGACGGAGGCGAATGACACGTACAAATATGATAATCATACATGACATGGAAGTCATCTACGTCATAACTTATGTCCGCCTCAAAACATTATGCTGATTGTAAAGTGGCATATCAACCTTCATCATTCATGCTTTGCATGTACTGTACGAGGGTTCTCCCAATTTTTTGTAGTGGGTAAAATATCTGTGGGCGAGTGGATGGATGTGAGGATTAGGCCTCCTCTCGAAGGTGGGCCAGCTCGTCGTCTCAGTGGTCTGGTTTACGGGTGACTCGGTCGTTGTGAGCTTCTCGAGGGCCATTTCCTGTGCTCATGACAGCCATTTTGAAAATCCCTCTGTGTGCTGATGGTGTCGTCCGATAGTTACTATGTGGACCGGGGGTTTCACTGCGATCTGTCTGATTTGCCTTACACCACCGGCGTCGTTGGTTGTGAGCAAAAAATTATTTTATGCGTTATCGAAAAATCGAGAACGCGCAAATAAAACAAATAATAAAGAAACCCTGGGGCAGAGCGGGATAGAACGCGGGTAGTTTCGGTCCGAGTAGGAATCGAACCTGGGCCGTTTGCGTGGCACGTGAATGTTAGAATACCAACTGCTTGTGAATACAGTGAAAATAACTTTTTCTGCTTGGAAATGCAGGGTTATAAACTTTCATGCTTTGCAAGCACACACGTCTTGTATATACACTTCTCAAGACGGCATGAAATATTGCAGTAATGATGTGTGGTACAAGCCTACATTGCTCGTGGGCGTCAAAACATGTGATTATCATACTGACTACATAGTTTAAAGCTGGTGACCTACTACAAAAGGCACACACATTACTGCGCCTATTCGAATAAGTCCACGTAGTGGGTGCATAGTGAGCTCAAAAAAATTTCATACACTAAGTACGCACTAGGCACAGGACATCGTTATCGAGTCCACCTCTTAAAGACGAAGCTTAAAAATCACGAAATTTTTTTTAATATAGCGGTGAGACAATCAGCACACCATACTGAATGCATACTGCTTTAGAAACATATGTAGAACGACACCTGCTGGGCCAGATCGTTCCGAAACATCAAGATTCAGTATAAGGTTATGTGCTACTTTAGAGGAGCTTCATTTACTATTAAAACGAGCAGGTAGTTTGCTGCACGTGGAAAATGAAAGAATGATGACATTATCAGTAGAAAAAAAAAAAAGATTTGAAGTAATTATTACAGACATTTGCTATAGCTTCAGGATTTTAGGAGGATTGACAATAAAGGCATAGATGATGCAGGACTACAGTGGACCTCTAGCTCCGATGATTTTTTTTTTCAAAAAAGCATTGCTTCCTAAAGTAGTAGCTTCAATCTCTTGATTTTTAGCCTTCAATTTACTTTTCATTGCATTAAATAAAGAAGTATTATACTTACACTTGCAATGACGATTCTTGCATAGCGTTTTATGCGACGAGTGCGATGGATTATATCTTCATGGTAGCACGGGCGTCTTGAGTTATATTTAATGTATTTTTGAGATGGATACTTTAATAGGCATTATCACACAACTTAAGAAGAAGTGCATTTACATCACAAAATTTGCTACAGCATTCAGATTCCTCAAAAGATAAGGCTAAATTCAGGTGGAGCAGTGGTTATACCATCACAAGGGGTAACTCGGCATTTTAAAGGGCCACTCACCAGATTTTCAGGCAAGCAAAATTTTCCTCTCGGGTTAAAACAAAACAAACGACGGCATGCCGCAATTATTGCGCGGCGGCGAGGTAGTTTCTTTCAGAACTTCGGTGGCAGCTCGAACAGTGTGAGCAAGAATGGGCGGCGGCGGGGCACAGCTCTATACCTCGAAAAAGCACGCATCAAAATTCTGCACGATTGTGTCGTATCTTCTCTTGCTTTCCGCAAGGCCATACTCAAAAACATTGAAGATGTCGAGCGCTTCATCTCCTGCCAAGCTCAGCGAGAGCGCAGCTCTCGAAGGGTCAGTTCTCGGTGTTTTGACTGCAGGTGCTTGCTTGAAGCTTTGCTTGAAGTGCTCCCAATTTTCAGACAAGTTCCCTAGGCTCTAGCGGCTTCAGTAGGTCTTTGGCGATGTTATGCCTTTGCTCATGAGCATCAGTTCACGGCAGCCAGCTCTGACACCATAGAAAGGGCGACGCGAAAGCATTGATAGCCAGAATCAGAAGGACGATGAGTTTTTTCAAGGCATTGATTATAATAGGCACTGAATGGTGCGCCGACAGTATCTGCACATGTTCTATGCGCAGATACTGTCTTGCCGGATACAGTTCGCACGCCTTAATTCTTCCAATTCAGGCCCACGTTTTCCACTGTCATTTTCGCTGCTAAAGCAATATTCTCTGCTTCTTGTCAGGGATGTTTTCACCAGCCATTGACTATGTACCAAGTTATTTAACAAGCCACCAACTATACAGTCTCGTTGTACTCCATCTAGTGAGTGCCAATGTTTCAGGTATCCGCCAATCATCGAATGGCTACAAGCACATCTCTGACTAGCTCACTCAGCATGTCGTTGCATCAGAAAAATTTGTGCAATTGGGTATTTCATTATAACTGCGCAAAAAGTGCTGCTACAGTATGCCGATCGAGTGCTTCTTTGTTGGCGCTCCCACTGACGACGGTCATGGCGTGGGTGCTCAGCCCTGCTACGTAGGAAGAATGCTCGCGTCTTTTTTCGTGATGCCATTGAAGAAGGCGTCTGGCCACGCAAGACTTGCCGGTCTGTAGCTACCTCAAACAGCGAAGAGCTTGCATTGCCGGTTATGGCTAGCAAGGCATTGCCGAGGTAGTCACTGAAGTGACAACAAATTTGCAAGGAGATCAAGACATAGACAATCACTTAAAAACCAAAATTCAAATAGGAAATGCTAACACTTTCAGTGATTCTTTTCGAGGCGAAGCTCCTTAAGGCGTGGGTCGGTTGTCACCTGTGTGTATGCACGTATGTAGTAACCGCCTCACAGCATATCCACAGATTGAATGATGAGTGGGGTGAAGCTTCGGAGGGTTTTATTGGCAAACCGTTAATCATCAGCTGGCCGCGTTCCTCCGTCGTCTGTCTGTTTGATACACGAACGGACAAATGCATGGAAGGACAAACGGATGGACGAAAGGATATACGCACGGATGAACAGAAAGACGGATGCACAGACGGACGCACGGATGCGCGGATGAATGGACGGATGAATGAACATACGTTTTGCCTCACTCATCAACATTCACCTCATGGGTATACTGTGTTCTTTCCCCAGAACATCTTGGCAATGGAATCACCTTCCCAATTGCATAGTCACCAACACTGATAACAAACTTTTTCACAAAGCTGTAGCTGACACTACTTAACTTGAAACAAGAATGTATTGTTCTTACTGTTCAATTATTATTAACACATTAGCTAACATTGTATATGCAGGAATAATGTTAACTTGCCTTGTTCATGTTGTTACTAGCTAAGCATTGTTTAACTACATTGTATGTACTGCTATTACTCGTGTTATTGCACTACTGTATTATTTTGTTGGTGTTTTATATTACCACCCAGTTTTTGTACACTTTCCCATTTACCACTCCCATCTGTAATGCCTCCGGGCTTTAAAGGTGCAATAAGTAAATAAATAAATAAATGAACAAACAAGCAAATAAGTAAATCATTGATGTGGCCCAAGTTAACTATACAAGAAGCACCTTTGCGATGGATTTTCAGTGCTAGCCTTCACGTTTTGCTATCCACTTAAGGCATCAGTGCACTTATTTTCCTCAAGTGGAAGACGACGACGTCTCCTGTTACTGGGGGACTTATTTAACCTAACGTCTGAACACCACCTCTATGCCATTAGTCTGCTCTGAGGTTCGCATTGCCTTTGATAAAGTGGGCAGAACAAACCTACGCACTTTTGTGGGAATACAGTTTTCTCACGTCATCGCTGCAATTCAGGCACCCTATCTATCCCCATCGGTCGGAAAACAAAATGTTTTGACTAGCATATAAAATTAGCTCAGGCTTGCAGACTACATCCTGGCACCACACAGCTGTGCCCGAGTTGCGAGCACTTCATCTGAATAGTTCTATCCGCATAAAACATCGAATCACAAGCAGCCGTGGCTAGCAACACAGACTACAACCACGCAAACACAAGCTAAACAGGAAGTTTCCAAAGGCACACTACCGGTGAACGCACATGGTTGCCAGAGACTACCAGGTGCTGCCGAAACCGTCCGTAGCACACAGCAGGGAAGAGGGTATGGGAAGAAGTTGATACAGCAGGTGTGCACCAAATTCATTAGCATGTGTGGTGCCTGACAGTTCCTGAAGGAATGAACCACACACCCTTTAAAAAAGCGTTTATACACATACCGCTAGAGTCTCATATTCCAAGTAATTATCACGACACAAAAAACCGCTAAAAAACATTTCCGCAAAGTCGATCTGACCACAAAAGCAGTGGCATTGCAAAAACGGGTTCTTGACTTAAGCTTCTACAGCCAGAGCAGCCGCGGTAAGGTATGGGGAGGGCAACGATTCACCAAACTTCCAAAAAATTGCATCAGGATGTAATAGCATTTGCATTTTGGCACAACTGGTGCAGCGGTAGCATCACTGTCAAACCAAACTTTACCTAATTCGCAATCACCCACAACCAGACTTATGTGGTCGCCACTATTGAATGAAGAACTTGACAAGTTCTTTACAAGTACCTTGCTTTATTAGACCTTCTACAGCTTTATTTCCTTGGACCCAAATCAAGAAGACAGCATCAGCTGGTTTCACCAGGCGGCAACAGCAGTTCCCGGTAGAATGGCCGCAATGACTCCCAAGTGAAGCGGCTGCGATCCAGCTGCACAATATATAATTCGAACTGAAAGGAACAAAGTCAAACTAGGTAATTGCACAATGAGTGAAAGTTCACAATGCTCTGTGATTCGACAACAATGTGCGTGTCCTCCATCTTGGGTCGCATAATAATCTCTATACATTACGGTGCCAATAAAGGTAATGGATTTCGTTGGTGAAACCTAGGCATCTCAATATAAAAAAAGAGGGCGCCTGGACCAAGATGCTTCAGTGTGGCTTATCCGGGATTGTGCTAAAGGGATCGTCCAGCCTCTCTTCGTATTGACGCATGAATACGAAGAGACGTACATGCAGTCCCAAGATCTGATGTACAGGGTGTCGTCGCTTGAGAAGGGTGTTCAACAGGTGGCTTTGTTGTGCTCTCATCACAAATGAAAAGACAGAGCTGGAGACATTCTTTGTTGACCACACCTTCAACAGCACATTTTAATTGTGCACCAGCAAGCAAACATTGCTATTACAAAGTTTGCTTTGAAGATACAGACTGCTCGATGGTCGCTTCGCTCCCCTCAGCAGTCGCATTTGCTAGTCTTCCTGCTTGCCTCAATCAATTTGCAGCTGCTTGCTCCGCCATCGCTTCGTCCTAGCTGATGAACTGTGAACTTTTTTCCCTTCCATTTGTACCTTCCGCGTTTATTCTTATGCTCACCAAATGGGTTTGAGAAAAAACGTTTACCACAAGCCCAAAGCAATATATGCAATAATGAAAAATTGAAAGCTACCCGAATTAAGGCCAGCAGCTAACACTGTTAGATGTGAAGCAGCTTAAGCCGAGGCTTTGTACATCTCTTTCGTGGCATCCACAACCCCACTTCGAATGCACGTCCCTTCCTCCTCTCTCTCCTCTAGGATATTGACGCGGCAAGGCGAAGTTGAATCGAAATGCAAACGCCGAGCGGCTGATCACGAAGCAACGAGGCAACCCGAGTCAGCGGCAAAGCCAACAAAACGCTTGAAGCAACTGCTGCAACCTGGGACCGATGGCACGAAAGCACGGTTCAAGCGAGACTTCCTCGACCGAAACTTTGGCCTCAGTCACAGGGTGTGCAACCGGTTTTGATAAGATAACAACCCGGCCATGGTCAGCACCATCCAGAGCGACAACACCGGAACGCAGTCGCTAGCACGCTGCAAGAAGAGTTTGGACTAGTGAGTTACAACGACAGCAATCACTCAACTTGCAAGGAGGCATTGACGTCAGGCAAGGTGCCCGTGATGGGCATGACTAACGGCTACCACTACCCGGCAAAACACGAGCATGTATGCCCAAGCTAAATTTAGTCGAAAAGCGGCTCATTGAGCCCCGTCTGCCATTCATGAGCATTCGACGCTTCAGGCACACCAACAGGCATTATGGGATCTAGGGTAAAGTCCTGAATGCGCCCATCGAACAAGATCTCGTGCAATGCCTCCCAAGACACGTCTTCGACGACGCAGCCATAGACATGCACATCAGGCGATCGAAAACTCGTCAGTAGGGCTTCGTACAGGCAGGGTACCACCAGCTACAGATCGTCCCTGTCTCTTCTATTATACATTCTTGATGCATTATCATTCGTCCTCTCTATCAATTCCACCACCATTACCAATCGCATATTTACTTAGAACGTGTGAGAAAGGAATTGTTTTTTTCTTAAAAAAAAGAATAGGTCTGGGTGCGGCCTTACTGGAGACCACCTGCCACTAATGCACTTCCTCACCAGAGCAGAATTGGCCGCCCTGGTGCAGTACTTGGCCACTACCTCCCATGAATACAGCAATGAACCTTTGGCCATCAGTCCCCAGCGGTTGCGAAGCAACTGTTCAAAGCGGTGGTCAGACCTGCGACGTAGCGAAGGGTGCTAAGAATCTCTGGGTCCAGACAGGCCACCATTGTAATCTGAACTTGGCCACCATCAACGCTAGAACGCTATGTAGTGAGGCTAGTCTAGCTGTCCTACTTGAGGAATGATGGGGTGTTCAATAGGATATAATACGACTCGGCGAAATTAGGAGAACACGTGAAGCTTATACAATGCTGAAGATTGAACACGTCTTATGATACCGTGGATTAAGTGACAGAAAAAACTAGGGGTGGGTTTCTTATACACAAGAAAATTGCTGACAACATAGAGAAATATTATAGCATCAGTGAGAGGGTGGCAAGTATCGTTATTAAGTTTAACAAAAGGTGCAAACTGAAGGTGGCACAGGCACACGTGCCTACATCGAGCTGTGATGATCATTTTGTTGAACGCTTCTATAAAGATGTTGAATCGTTCATTAATAAAGTGAAGTCACAGTATATAATATTCTGATGGGCGACTTTAATGCCAAGGTCAGCAAGATACAAGCCGGTGACCATGCAGTCGAGGATATGGCATCGGCTCCAGAAATGCCAGAGTAGAGGCATTAGTATAATTCGCAGAGCGTAATAATTTACGGATCTTGAATACCTTGTTCAGAAAATAGGCTAGTGATAAGTGTACGTGGCAAAGTCCTAATGACGAAACTAAAAATGAAATGCACTTTTCTGTGTACACATCAAGGCACTGTACAGAATGTAGAAGTACTTGGCAAGATTCGATGCAATGACCAAAGAATGGTAAGTGACCATATTCACCTAGATTTTAAAAATGCAAGGGCAAAAACTGATACGCAAGAAGCCAATTAAATAAACTAGCGGTGACAGTTAAGGTACAAGAATTCAGAGTGTCACTTCAGAATGGATTCGAGGCACTGAACGAGGTAACCGACGTTAGCGTTGACACAACGAACGATAATTTTACTAGTGCGATCAAAGAGTGTGCAATGAAAGTCGGAGGTACAGTCACTAGTCAGGACACTGGCAATTATCTCAGGTGGCGAAAAATCTTATTAAGAAATTACAGACCATGAAAGCCTCAAATGGAACCAACAAAATAAAGCTAGTGGAGCTTTCGAAGTTATTTAAGGTGGTAGGCCACTCAAAAACAAAAATTTTTTTAAGGGCAGGCAGCGTTGAAATAACGTTTTCCTCAAAACCAGCATGTCTTATTTAATTTACCCAGCTATTTACAGTGCCAAATATTGAATATTTATTTATTGGGAGGTAATCATTGTCAAAAATTGCATTAAAAGTGCTAGCAACGCGAGCTGTGATAAGTGACTAATGGGTGGCTTCATTCAGTAAAGCTTTGACATTTGTGTAACTAATGGCTGGAGCTATGCAGCGAACTAGAATAATTATTATGTAGTGAATATCAAGGAAGTAATTCTAAAAAAACAAAAATGGGAAAAAAGAGCCAATTTAGACTGAACCTGTTGGAGAATTCAGCTGTGAACTGAAAAATATTCGATGGATTTCTTTTATTCTAGTTCACTGCACAGATATATATGTAGTAAATCATTGTGCAAAATTTCAGTTCAAAGTATTCGCTGAGTAATACCACAGTCCCTTAATACCGTTCTGGTCACGAAACTTCTCCGTCACTCTATGGGAGAGCTTGATATGGTGCCAAAAGCGGCCGCTACGCGGCGCAAGCCGTCCTAGGGGGGCCATCGCCCCGCTGCGCCCGGCGGAACGCACTGGCCGCGGCAGCATCCCGAGGGCGTTGTGTGGTGGCAGCTCGCGGTTTCTGCATCAGCGAAACGCGAACTTCATGTGCCAGTGCACCGTGCTCAAGGTGGACGGCATGAAAATCCGAATGAACAATGCCTAAGACGTGCTGTGTGACGGGTTGCAGCTCCGGATACCGAAGCAACAAAGAAAAGGCGTCGCTCGTCTGTTTCCCAAGTAGCGCCGAACTCCGAAAGAAATGGAAGCGAGCTATACCGCGGTTGGAAGCTGGCGGTTTCAGCTTCGAAAGTAAGAACGTTCGGGTGTGCGAAAAGCATTTTGATGCTAGCGACGTTGTGAGAACCGACGAGCACATCGTGAACGGGGTGGTCGTGTCGCTTCAGCGAGAGAGACCGAGGCTTCGCACGAACGCCGTTCCAAGAATTTTTGACGGGCTCCCGGCGTACCTGACAAAGCCGAAACCGCGTTCACGCATGCGGTGACGTGTACGCGAGGATTGTTGAGGGCATTTTGCTCGACAGCCGCACAGCGTCAGCAAGTGTACATTGTCTGATGCACTTTTTAGGGACAACAGCTGAGGTTGTACACTTTTTTTTTAGATGTAGATTACATTTCTTCACTCGAGAAAAAAAACAAAGCCTCGCGGGCAACTGTGCGCAGCTCATGCCCTGCAAGTGGTGGGCGGAAGCGACAGTGTTAAGCATAATGGCTGTGTATGTGAGCACGCCTTCCCATTTGTATATAGTGTTGTATATCTTGTATACATTACACTGTAATATTTTCGTACTATGCATATTTATATGCATATAGTGTAAATAGTGTATATTCAAATACAGTTTATTTTAGGCAGTGAGCTAAGACAGAGTGCAGCTGTTAATGAAACGAAATACACATTATACAGTAGAGTCACAGATTGTGTAACATTGCTCAGAACAGCTGCAATAGTTTCTAGTGCTTTTCTTCTCCAAAGTGTTGTTCTCAGTGTATTTTGTGTAAATAAATGTTTTCCAACTTTCTCCCCATTACATGCACCATATGTGAATCTCCCATTCATAAGTACACACCTGACTACTAGGCGGCGTATCATTAGCACCAAATTTAAGATTTATTGCATGCCTTAAATCATAACCGCCCTTCCCCCCCCCCCCCCTCCCACGCAAAAAATAAAAACAAATGTGTGATGCGGTACCTCGGTAGTGGCAGAGGCGGCCAAGCGGCTAGCACTGGCATCAAAAGGAACTTCCAGATTAGGCTGCTGTACTTCCGTTCCCGGAGAAATCATGGGTTGTCGGCCGGTAAATAATAGTGCCCTAAACAGTAAACACAAGGAAACGTCAAGCGGCGGGTGTCCCGTGTAAACTGCGTGGAAAGAAGTGATCAATCAAATGTTGGGCACGTTTAGAGCGGTCGCGAAAGCCCTCGACATAGAAAGTCCCCGCGTCAAA